AAAACCAGCTTTGTTCTAGTGCACTATAGAATAAAGGGAGACAAAAGGGGACATTCAGCCCAAAGCAGTGTCTCAAAAGTTGCATCCCAGTACATGCATTTTATACCCTAGGTAACCAATTAGGTCACCTAATACACATCTAATACATCAATACATCAATGTATGCACCCCTTCCCATGCTGGAGAAAGAGTCCTTTCTTCTGTCAAGGACCAGACATTTCCCATGTCTATTTCCTATCTGCTCAAGATTCACACAGGCTTGCCATGGTCTTACTCTCTGCACATTTGCAACTTTCATGGTGGCTAGAACCAGTTTCCACTGTCCTTTTGATTACTGTATTCGAGGTCAGGCTAGCGTGTTAGCTGTGAGTTACACAAAGTTCATTTTGTACTTATCTGCCCTCCCTTCTGGGACAGTATGACTGTGGTGTTTTTACTATGTGGCCTTCCTCTGGCCAACTACTTTTGGGGCCTTCCTCTGGCCAATTACTTTTGGGGTGTTTTGGGGTGCTGCAGTTGGCAACATTAGGATAACTCTTGCTGGCTAGAAACATTGGCACACACTTTGCTGGGAAATTTGTTGATTTTTTAATACAAACGCTGGTCCCTCTGGGCTTCCATGAGGGGGTGCACAAGGGCTACATGTAACCTATGGGCTGCTAGTTGTGCACCTTGGCCTAAAGAGATTCCAAGCACCACATCTAGCTGTTGACTAGTAGCTAGACTTGGGCACCCAAAACAAGATGGGGATCCTGTTGGTGCTTTGCCCATCCCCTCTGCCAACCAAAATGGGTTCAAATGTAGTATTGAAGATGGAAGGCTTCTAGTCTTGGGGTATTTGTCAGCAGCAGCTCAGGATTTCACGATCACGGGCCTGTCTGAAATATTTCTTGGCCAATATTTGTCAAGAGCTGATTTTCTCTACTGGATTAGGAGAAAATGACAAAGTCAGAAATGAATGGGATTGTACATCTCTGTGTAGTGGATATCTGTAACCTTGTGCTACCTGAAGATATAGACAAACTGCTTGATGAAGCCTATTCCTGAGGCCTACTACTTGCTTTTCAGAAGCTAACACATCCTGTTTTCTGAAACTAGACAGATGTGGTCTGCCTGTTTGGTACTTGAAGGGTGGTTAGTGTCTCTTTGAGGGATGATGGGGTCATTGTAGCTGTAAAGGAAGCAATGGTGATGAGGAATTGGGCTTATTCCTTCTATAAAAGAGCCTTTAAGAGCTGTGGAAACAGATTCTGAGCCAAAGAAGTAGCTAAAATCCTGTGATGAGTGGACCAGAGATAAAACCAGGCAGTTGCTGAGAATAAGTTCATTTCAAATACTGTAGGGAAGTTTAGTGAGCATGCTAATGAGGATGAAGGACAAACCAAGCATCAATAACCCTGGGGTGTGGCATCAAGTAAAAAGGCCAGACAAGCTGAGGAGCATCAGATGCTCTGAGCAACTGGACCTTTGTTAAGCTAGCCTGACTGGTCAGTGTCAATATAATAGAGACTTGTAGTTAAAAAGCCATCTGGGTCTGGCTTGGAAGAAAGATGAATAAAACAGCTACAAGGTGAGCTGCTTGCTGAAGAAACCAAATTTAGATTCTGTGGTTTCACTACCATCCAATATCAAATTTTCCATTTTTGCATAGGCTCTAAAGCACATTGTGACCTCTCAGCTGTAGACAATGGCAGATTATTTATATCAATTCCAATCAGATTTCACTAACTATAGGATGAAAATAGCAGCTTAGTTACCAGCAACCATGACATCCTTCTGGACCACTTATTTAGACTAGGTGATATTACACTGTTTCCTGTCCTTTCTGTAGGAGTGTCTCAGCAGGTGGAGCTGGGAGCTTTTCTGCTACCCCGTTGCCTGCACAATACTATAAAGTTTTGTCCTGTCCTACAGACCTTTTAACATCTACATGAAACTGCTGAGGGAAGTACTAAAGTGACAGTGGCGTATATATATTAGGAAATAAGATGCCACAAATAATATATTAATCCTCAAGCTCCAGGATTGCTAACCAAGGTTCTGAAATAAATCCTGGCTCCAGATGGTGTTCAGCAACCTTATCCATGTCATGACTGCTTGTCAAATCATCATCCAGAACAGAAGATGGATACCCAGATGGAGCATGACACAAAATGGAGCCCTATTAACAGGAAATGCTCCCTGAAATGATAAAAAGAAAAGGGTCATTGTGATTGATGATCCCTATGGAATAGAAAGGAAACTGTATTGGCCAGACTACTTGTTCTTCAAGTATGTTGCTTCCCAAGGCATGAACTGGAGATGATGGTTGATAGTCTGTGAATTGTTATTGCATCCCACTCATCCATGTAGGAACAAACAATATTGCCAAGCACAGGTATAACTGCATTGTGTCAGACTATGGATCTGTAGAAAGGAAGCTTCCTAGAGTTCTTGTAGCAAGAACCAGTTGTAGTAGGGCCTACTTCATCCTTTTAATAAAAATGCAGGGATTTCTTTGAAGCATGGCTTTCAGTGTTTTCATCCCAATGCCCAGAATATGGGAAATAGGATGAGTTTTAATTCTTGGCTCTAGAAGATAAATAAGAGAATAGCTATAACTGAGAATGGGACTTGATGGAAATATCTGGGTTAAAATAAATGAAAGAACAAAAGGAACACAGTGGCTGCAGTCTACTACTGACCACCCAAGTGGGGAAAGGGTGTAGATTATACTTTCCAAACATAACTGCAGATATGTCAGGGAAGCATAAAGTGGTACTGATGGGGGACTTTAATTAACCTGTTAACCGCTGGGTAACAGCTTCTACTAAGCACAGTCTCTCCAAGAATTTTCTTACACCCTTCTTTTTCAAAAGTTGATGGGAAAATCTTTGGGGACAACTATCCATGTCCTGATTCTGACTAACAGGGAATAGTTAGTTGATGAGTGAAAGTAGCAGGAACTTGAGTGGGGGGCGAGGGGTGACTATGTATTGCTTGAATTCCTCAATTTTAAGGAAAACTAAAGCATCATTGTTCCTTCCAACTCTACTATGATTCTATGATTAGCTGTAATGAATGCCTGACTAAGGGATGGTAGGATTAGTACCCTGAAGAAGGCTGAAATAACACCACTTCGGAAAAATCCAGATCTAGATTTTATGGCTTTGGAAAATGATTGTTCAATGTTTAATTTGAAATATCTAAGCAAGGCCTAGGAACAGACAGTGTATTGCCAATTCCAGGCAGCTTTGGAAATTCCAAATTGTGTTCTTATCTGGATTCATGACAGAATCTTCCCTGGTCACCTTAGTGGGTGATTGACACAGGGCTGGAGGAAGTATGACCCTGCTGACTTTCCTGGACCTCTCAGTAGCTTTCATGAAGCCTATCTGGACCATCTCTTTGGCATGGAATTTAGAAGCACTAGATTGCCATGATTCTGGAAATACATGACGAGATAGGGTTCAGAAATGGTGCTGTTTCAGATGGACTTTAATTCCTCATCAGGGCTTTTTGAGTGGATGCATTAAGATTCTATCTTACCTGCCAGCTCTGGATTAAGGTCTAAAGTTGGTCCTGGGTCATACTCGTACCCATGTTAGGAACTCTCCAGCAGTTGGAACTTTCAGTAGAGAGGCAGGTATACATCCCCTAGCCAGGAGTGCTTTGGCTGGTTTGCTGACTGCACTCTTTATTTGGAGAAGGCAGATCTTGCTTCATTGATACATATGCTGGTTGTTTTATTTGTATTTATTTATTTGGGTATTTTTTTACCCTGTCCAATACCCAGTGCGTCTTGGGATGACTTACCATTTAAATCCCATAAATACATATATACCCAAATAATACAAATGATCCACAAACTGAGCATAAAAACATACTTAAAATTAAACATTAAAAGTACAGAAGAATAAAAAGATCTTGACCTGGTGCCAAAAAGCATATAACATTGGCGCCAGGTGGCTCTCTCTGGGGAGTGCATCCATCGCCGGGGCGCCACTGGTTACATCCAGGTGGGATTGCAGCAATGCACTCAGTGTGGGGCTGCCCTTAAAGATGGTCTGGAAACTTCAGTTGGTGCAGAACCTGGCAATAAGAACAACTAATTGGAGTCAGACAGTTTATACTAACTGCCTGTTTGATTTTCAGACCCAATTTAAGGTGCTAGTATTGTTCTTTAAAGTCCTAAATGGTTTGGAACCACATTACCTGAAGGGCTCCCTACACCCATATGTCCCTGCCAAGTTTCAAGACCAGCATTCAAGGCTGTAATTAGAGTTGGGATGAACATTCTGGAAAGAGGCACCGCGAGCAGGTGTACCAGGTACCCTTCCCTGTGACCAACTTTTTCTTTCTTGCTGCTGCTGGCAGTGACAGTGTCATGTGGGGGAAAGGGGTGCTGCTTGCACAAGGCATGGGGCTCATTTCTTGGTGAGCACCCTGCACACACTGGATGCTCTTATCAGGAGCTTGGACCCTGGGCTGCAACAAGGCTTTTTCACTAAGAAAAGCAGATGTCAGAAGTGGTTTCGTATTATTTTGGTTGTTCATACATAAATTCTGTTCCCATCTGCATGGTTCTCATTAAGCTCTCCAAACACATAATGTAGCTCACCTCAGTGGGAAAAATTTGCCCTCAGGAAGGTGGATATAACCTACATAAATTTGCTCTTTCCTGATCGACTTCCCAGTGATTATTTTTGTTTTAGAATATTTATTCAGTCTCCCTTTAGCATCATACAGCACTAGAATACAATTTCTTCAATTTTTCATCCTTTTCAGGGACAAAATTCAGTTTTACACTTAGTTTTGGTTTTCAAAACATTGATTTCCATGTGAAGGTAAACAAGTAATTTGTACTCAAGCAATTTTATAGTAATCATTTTAATTCTCTATGGATCTAAGTAAACAAAGCATTAATTTTAGGTTTGCAGGGTAAGACCCAAATGACTAGCCTTCACATAAATTGTACTAGTTATTGTTTTCATGTTATTTAATGTCATTTTATTTTTCAGGGAGGAAAATCATATACAGGACCATGTGCAGGAAGAGACTGCAGTGGAGGTTGTGAATGCTTCCCAGAAAAAGGAGCTCGTGTGAGTACCAGCATTTTGCTACATAAATTTCAGGGGGATATAACGTGTATTAGCCTGTTGCAGCTTAACAACAAAGAGTGCTTTGCTGAATAAAGAATCCTAATATTTTTATCTTTGGAACCTGGCAATTTTATGCAGATTAAAGAAGTAGATATTAATGAGTAAAATGCAAAAGTGCTCCAACATAGGATTCAGTGAGCTAAGATGTAGTGATCCCTTCTCTTCTCTTCTGTTCTCTTCTTTTCTCTTTTCTTCTCTTTGTCATTTCCCCATGTGACCTGTGTCGCCCTCCCATTACACCTCTTACACTGTTCTGGGGAAACCCTCAGGCCTCCAGAGCAGTTCTCTCACAGCCATAAGCAGGAGCCAAGACTGAGGAGTGCCTGTTCTATGAGCAGAACTCCATCCACAGAGATCTGGATCATAACCCAATCCATCTACTGCCTGTATTTTTTTTGACTTTTCTAATTTCAGCAAAGAAAAAAGTATGATGTGCTGTGATCCTGTAGATTGCAGTAGAATGCTCCAGCTTCCCTTCCATTTCTCCTTCAAAATGTGTGTGTGTGTTTTAAGGACTGATCTGAAATGCCTCTTTCAGTTTCATTATATTTTCATATACTGTAAGTTCAGAGGTGCCATTTTATCAGATCGTAGGTGTGGGAGCTAATGGCAAACTTACTGTCCGTGCATGATGTTGCCTCTGCGATCCTAATGGTTGGCATCTGCCACATTTTCATTTCCTAGAAGGATGCAGAATGAAGGCACACAACATAGCCCTCCACCCATTTGGCTTCTTAATATGTGAAGGCAATACTTCCTGGCCTGATCCTGCAGCCTGCTGGGAAGGGGACAAATGGCAGGCTGCGGCCACAGGACTTCTTAGAGCAGAGGTGAAGTGGAACCAAGGCTTGCAAGGGTACAGCACCAGCATCCCTGTAGTGGGAAGGACACTGACATCATCAGACGCATCTACTCAGAATTTCCTGTACTCCTGAGCTTAACTGAAACTCTCAATAACTGGGAAAATCAGCGGGAGAGATCAGTGGGAGAGGCCCTTCTCCAGGAATCCTCCGTGAAGGATATTAGGAGGGTAAGTACCTGGAGGAGGGCTTTCTCTGCGGTGGCGCCCAATCTATGGAATGCACTCCCCAGAGAGGTCCGCCTGGCGCCGTCGTTATATGTTTTTCGGTGCCAGGCCAAGACCTTTTTATTTAAACGGCAGTTTAATTGTTAGCTTATTTATTGATTTTATATCTTTGGCCAGCGCATTTCCAATTATATTGTTTTTATATGATTATATGTATTTATTTATTGTTGTAAGCCTCCCTGAGGCTTCAGCGAATGGGGCGGCATAGAAGTTTACTAAATCAATAAATAAAATAAATTATAGCATTTGAAGGCATATCATATCATACAATATACAATATATATAGGAAGCAGGCTTCACTTCACCTTCTTTACTGTGGTACTGTTTTATTTTGTTGCATAGCAACATTAAAAGCCTGAATCTAAGTGCTTTACTTAGATGGAATTTACACAGAGGTAAATCCCATTGATGTCACTGGGACTTATTTGCTCATAAATAGGATTGGGATTGTAGCCTTAGATAGAAATATTAGATATCTCTTGCCTTGATTCATGTGTTGTCATTGAAAGTACAACTATTAGATATGGGAGAATTGCCAAAAAGTCAAAACACTGAACATCTGCACCATGCGTTTTAGCCAAATTTGAGGAAATTAGAGTTAACATTAAAAGTGCTTTGTGTTTTTAAAAGTTAGAATAGTATATTTTTCATATCAGCAGCACATTAAAATTGAAGTGCATCTAATTTTAGTGTTACTAAAATCACATATTTGTCTTGGTATGGAAACATGTTTTAAACCCTTTTCATATGTCCAGAATGTTATGCTAAAATTCTTTGAACATAAAATCTATACCAGTAGCACCTACTGCAGAACAGGCTGTATTTTTCAGTTCATTTTAATAAACATCAGGGTGCTGTATTGCCTCTTGAATAATTAATTGATTTAGAAGCTTCAGAGTCTACTGAAATCATTGTAAATGTTTTGTTCCTATTGCAAATAAGAAAATAGGGCCTATTAAAAGAGTCAGCCATTGTTTTAGTAGTATCTAACAGTAAAAAACTGATTTGCAAAGAAGTCATGTGTCAGTGAAGCCTTTCTTCAGACTTGCTCTGCTTTATTGTATTGTTTTATTATTCAAAGAAGAACATAAAAAGAAATGCATAAAATGGAAAAGAAAAATTATACATAGTTATATATGTAGAGAGAGCTCTCCAGGCCCCCTGGGAGCAGTCCCCCTCCAGACAGAGGGTTGCGGGAGGGCCCACGGGAGGAACACCTGGGGAAACATGGAGGCATGTCACCCAAAGGAGGAGGAGGCCAGCACTGCCTCCTCCTCCTCCTCCTGGCACCGATCTGAAGCTGGGAAACAGGTTCTCTCCGCCTGAGGAGGCTGGGGCTGATGAGACCTTGGGGGACCACCAGGACCCCCAGCCTGGGGCCACAAGTGGCAAGGGGGGTGCTGCAGAAGAGGTGAGGGCCAGGGCATGGCCGCTTACCAATACTGGGAAGAGACAGCGGTGGGTGATCCTCGTCGGGGACTCCCTGCTTAGGGGCACTGAGCCGGCAGTGTGCCGTCCCAACCTTGAGGCGAAGGAGGTCTGTTGCCTGCCGGGCACACGCATCGGGCATGTGAAGGATAGAGTGGAGCATCTTGTTCACCCCAGGGGTCACCAGCTGCTTCTGGTGATCCATGTGGGCACAAATGCCAGACAGGGTGTGGGCGGGATCACCAGGGACTTCGAGGCCTTGGGGAAGAAACTCAGGGACCTTAAGGCCCAAGTGGCCTTCTCATTTATCTTACCAGTTCAGGGATTTGGGCCAGGCATGGATAGGAGGGTCGCTGAGGTGAACAGCTGGCTTAGGATGTGGTGCCAGAAGGAACGCTTCGGGTTCCTCGAACACGGCACCCGGTTTCTTGCCAATGGACTTCTGGCAAGGGACGGGTTGCACCCCATCTGCACTGGACAAGTGTGGGGAGAAGATCAGTGCTCTGGGACCAGGGTTTTGGAGGTACTGCAGGGAGGAACAGCCTCCTACAGAGAGGGGCCAGGTATCAGGGAGGATGGGAGGAAGGAGGAGGCTGGGGACTCCAAAGAAAGGAAGTTGGGGGAAGGAGTTGAGGTGCATGTGCACCAATGCTAGGAGCATGGGTAAGAAGCAGGAAGAGCTTGAAACTTTCCTGGGAATAGGAGGGCATTGTCGTGTGCAATGACTCAGAGTAGTCTGTGGCGTATGTAGGGGAGAAGGAGGCTTCCCGTGGAACCAGGATTTGGTGCAGAAAGATGTGTATCTGGTGCCAGTTGTACACCCCCCCACTCCCTGACGAAGTTTTTCCAAAGAGAAGACGCAGGTAGGAGCAGGATTCAAGCAGGAGCTGATAGTGAACTGCGGTCGGAGGGCAGGTTGGAGGGCAGTCAGGTGGTTGCCAAGGAAATGGTTGGGAAGTCTGAAGATAATGGCCATGAAAATGCAGGAATTGGCATTTTCCCAGGAAGATGCGTGCTCTTGCATACGCATGTGCAGCCTAGGGCAATTGGAGACAAGGGAGTTAGAAAGAAGAAGGAAGAGAAGTTTGTCAGAGCCACCCATTTCATAATTTGATCCCTCTCAGAAAGAGAGGACAACTTTACCATTATCATCATCATTATTATGATCGTTGTTTCCTGTTAACGTATCTGCAATATTTAATAGAATAAAGGACTTTATCTTCAATTGTTGGATTTGTTGGCTTTGTTGGGAAGGAGCGCCTCAGCCCCACAACAGGTATGACCTGGTGGGGATCACAGAAACTTGGTGGGATGAAAAGCAAGACTGGAATGTAAACAGAGGAGTGGGGGCGTAGCTTTATATGTCAGAGAAGAGATAGGATGCAGTGAGATAGAATGTAGCACAGATGGGGATTCGGTAGAGGCAGTCTGGGTGAAACTTAGGGGTTTTGACAGGGAAAGAGACCTGACAGTGGGGTATGTTATGGCCTTCCAGGTCAACTTGAGACCCTGGATGATGTCCTGACACATCAGATTCTAAGGATATCTCGGGGGAGGGATGCAGTAATTATGGGAGATTTCAGTCTCCCGGATTGGGAGACTCACTCAGTGGGGACACCCTGGACACGTTGCTTCCTAGACGCTACAGAGGGAGGGCTTTTCACACAGAGGGTCCAAGAGATGATGAAGGGGGAGGAACATACTTGACGTAGTCTTGACCAACAGGGAGGAGCTGATAGATGAAGTACAGATTAGGGGAGCTTTGGATGAGAGTGATCACTCCACCCTTTGCTTTGAGATCAGGGGAATAGGGATGTGCAGCAGGTCGAGCACTAGAAGCTGGGACTTCAAGAGGGCCAACTTTGGCCAACTGAAGGCCAGACTGAGGAAAGTCTTGTGGGATAGGTTACTGGAAGGCAAGCGAGTTGAGGAGGGGTGGCTGACACTCAAAAAGGAGGTTTTGGAGGCATAAAACTTGACGATACCTTTAGTTAGTAAGGTGGGGAGGCGAAGGAGAGTGCCACCATGGATGCAAAAGGAGGTGGTAAAGGGGATTAGATGCAAGAGGAACCTCCACAAGAAATGGTGGGGCAAATAGACAAAAGTGTATACCAAGAGGAGGAGGCCCATTGCAGAAGGATTCTTCACAAGGCTAAGGCTGATTACGAGCTGAAACTTGCAAAGAATTACAAAGGCGCCAGGCCCTGACAGGTTACACCTGAGAGTACTTCAGGAGTTGACAGGGGTTCTCTCATGCCTGCTGGCCTCCATTTTTGAGACCTTGTGGAGAACGGGTGAAGTTCCAGAGGACTGGAGGATGGCATCAGTGGTCCCAATTTTCAAAAAGGGTAGTAGAAGGGATGTGGGGAGCTACAGACTGGTTAGCCTTACGTCCATTGTAGGAGAAACAATGGAAAGGCTCATA